ACACACAAAGGATAAAAATAAGATATTTTTATTGAATCAATAGATAATCGAAATAAATAGAAATTTTATTTTTTATTAAAAAATGTATTAATCTATTACCGATGAGTCATTAAATGTCTCGATATTTAATAATAAATAAATAATACGAATGTGGATAACTTTGTGTTAAAAAAAAAAAAAAGAATAAGAACACACAAAGGATAAAAATAAATTAATAGATTAATGAGTTATCCTAGATGAAAAAAATATTAAAAAATAAAGAAATATTAATCATACAATTAAACGAATCGTACGAGGTGACATAAAATGCAATCTAACGAGTATTTCTATCTGTTCGAATAATATTGTATCTCGCTGTTTTATACGCAACGTGTAAGCTTAACTCCAAGGCGTCTGAATCACGTATCCTTAAGAAGACACGATTAAATTATGTTTTAACGCGTATAGCATACGTAAAAAGTGTTCATACGTATCCTTCGCAGCCTCTTTCCATTCCACCCCCTTCCCACCCCCCCCCACAAAGAACGCCATAGCGCCATATTATTTTTATCATTCGTCTGAATTCCTTTTTTTTTTTTTTTTTCGTGTAGTCACGTCGCGAAATGAATTTCGCGTTCGAGTGTTGAAAAAAAAAAAAAAATGGAAAAATTTTGGATCGAAAACGTGTCGTAGATAGTTTGAATTTTTTATCTTTCAGATATTATTTTTGATAGACGATATTTCTCCATTGATTATATCATTGTTTCGAATGAAATTGTGAATGGAAACAAAATGAAAGAAATAAACAAAATAAAAAATAAGATAGAAATTTATCGCGACCTATTATTATTTATCGTATACATGAGAAAAAATTTGTCATCTGGGTATAAAATCTGGCGTTAGAATTTTTAAAACAGAAAAAAAAACAGATCCAGTTTTTCATTATTTCTATCTCTCTCTCTCTCTCTTTCTCTCTCTCTCTCTTCTCTCGTGAATTTTGTTTAAAATATATTTTACCTGTTTTCTTTGACTTTATTTTGATTCTTTTTGTTTTTATTTATAAATTTCTCCTCTTTTTAAAATAAATCTATCGTTAACATGAAAACATATTTTATGTAGATTTAATAGAAAAGATAAAGATAGATAGATAGATAGATAGAATTCGTTCACACTTTCACGTTTATTATTACTAATGTAGCACAACTGCATACTGATATCTATCTTTTATTTATTCGCGACCCTGATTATCTCTTTATTTCGTTTCATACTTCGAATGCACGTGTGCATTCTCGTAAAGGATCACGAACCAATAATAAGCTCGGTACAATACTTACATTTTTTTCTTAGTATTAAAACGTTGGATTAAAAACAAAGAGAAAGAATTTGTTCGTTGAAAAAGTAAAGTAAAGAAAAAACGAAAAATAAGTATCGATTTTCTTAAAAGAAACAATTCATCATTTCGTTTTAAATTTTTTCGTTACATATTAATTAAAAAATATTCAATCGTGTGTATGTTGCTGGTGATAATCGAAATAATCCCGTAATATTTTTCTAAACATTTATTTCGATCATATTAGCAATAAAACTAAATAACTACTGAATAAACAAAATAAATGATATCTCTTATAAAAAAATATAATTCACAATTTAATATTCCGCGTGTTRTGTTATTATTACAAAAATTTTTATTATAATTTTTGTTGTTTCCTTTTCGTTGTAATATATTAATTTGAAAAATATCCAATTGTGTCGGAACTCTCTCTACGAAATAATCGCGTAATATGTTTCTAAACATTTATTTCGATCATATTAGCAATAAAATCAAAGAACTACTGAATAAACAAAATAAATGATATCTCTTATAAAAAAAAATAATTCACAATTTAATATTCCGCGTGTTGTATT